GGTAAGATCTGTTGGTGCCCGAATTGCACACCTTCGTGGTTGCGCTTCCGACCGATTCCCACAAACACAACAACGTTCCAGACTAAACCTCCAAGAATAAATCTTTAGTTATCAAATAGATGGAGTAAGCTATGCAAGGACTGTCCAAACCTTCCACACGTCTAGGCCTTTAAGAAACAATTGAAACGTAAAATGGCTTGAAATGTTTACTGATCTAAACTATCTGGAGCAATGGTACTTATGAAAAATGTGGAACAGGGATGTATCATGATTCTCTCGCACCCACACGGTGAGGAGTAATATGTCTTTTCTTGGCTCTTTGCTGATGGAAGGAAAAATATGCCAGTCGCAGAGGTGGACGAACACACACTCGTGAATAGATCAACAAAGGAATTCTGGATACCCAATGGCCGTAGCCACCATGTTCTTTTGAATCCGATTTGACCTGATAATGGAAATTACCTCAAGACGTGGGCCGGGAGGAAGGAAGTGATACTGGAGACCAATTGAGAAATGAATATTAAGGGTTTGTGTTTTTATTTTATTTTTTTAGTGTGAAACAATGAATGTATTTAAATTTGATTGAAAATCTTTGCAGTAAAATTGTGCATAAGGCAAAATTGCTTTAAGTAAGGTAACCTTTTTGGATAGAAAATCTGTGAATACAAAGGAATAAAGTGCTTACAATGAGGCGAATACAACCTTATTTCCGTTTTCATCAGTGGCTTAAGGTAAATAAGGTAGATAAGGTAAACAATTTTCTGAGGGTCATCATATTTGTTCCGGTTCTGTAAACCATCGTCCAAAAGAAAGCAATCTGTGTTCGTAGTTTTTGGTGGTGGATATCAAGTCTTGAGAGCACCTGAGTAACAAACTTGTCAGAATAAAGGAGTGAACCGACTGACCGATCAAGATGAACGAAAATGTCTAATATTCCGGTTTATTTGATTTACCACAACTGTCTGATCAGCTGGCTGGCGGCAGAGTGGGTAGCATGCTTCCACTCTGCCTTTATGGCCCCGGGTTCGTTCCCCATATGAATCGATGGATTTGCACTACTGATGAGAACCAGCCAGGTAGAAACAGCTGTACGGTACTTCCTAGCTTTTCAGTTCACCCTTCATTTGCCATATGAACGATGAACTCCCCTGTGAAATTGAATCAAATCCTCCGCCACTCACATGAAACAAAGATATAATCAAGATCCAGAAAGGAGATCGTGACTGGCCACTAAGAAAGTAGTGGAAATTGACATCCGTGACGAGATTCGAACTGACGAGCTACAAAGCGGTTTGCAACAGATCTGTACCACTTGATCACCGCTGTACCTAATGATGAATCTCGAACCCAGTGTGGTGGAGAACGTTTTTGTACAGACATGCACCAATCAAGCAGTTAAAGTCACAATCTGTGAATCATAACTGCATTCTCGTGTTTGTTATACTCTCTTACCCCTTAATTGAATTTCAGTGCATCCAAGGACGCCAAATCGGTGGTCAAGGAAAGGAAATAAAAGTTCGATCGGCGTATGATGATACTTCTATTAGTTTCAAAACTTTTCAGTGCTTTCTAACCGGGGCCCGATTCTTGGGAATCAGCGATTTTGTAGAGGAGAATAGAATTTTTGTTAATGAATCGTTCCCGGTTCTTTTTCGTGTATCAATGAGTTTAATAATTATTTACAGTGATAGTGATCAGTTTATAACCTGTTCACCAGAATATCAGACATAAATGTTTGTCGTAGGTTTGAGATCCGTAGTGCCTCCGACTTGAAAACAATTTAGATCAAAGTCGAAGTTTTGTTACCGAAATAAAAGCGGTCGCTTTTCTTGTCTTATAGGTTTTTGCACAAATGGATTGATTTACCGATCAAAAAGAGATGAATACTGTCACTAACTTTCATTGTTTCGTGCTCTGCGACGGATATCGATATTTAAGACGCGACAGTGTTTCGTCCAGTAAGCTCGAAAGAATCAGTTGTAGGCGCAGAGACAACGTAAATTAGTAGAGAATTCCAAAAACTACAAATTCCGAGGGCACATGAACGGTATCACCTTTCTAGTTTGAAGAGCTAATTTGAATGAGTGCTTCCATGGAGTGTGTGCTAAATGACACTGTGAACAGTTAATGCCGTGAGTGGCCAGGATTCTCCATTATTTCATATACCAAACCTTTCTTTGTGGCCAATCCCAAAGTTGACGATCGTGTTGCAGCCATGAATTACACGCTTGAAGGTGTACTTTGTGTGGGGTCCAATGTAGGCTGTTAATAAACGTGAGAACAGCTCAGGTTCAAATTTGCCAAAGGCAAACCAAAATATTTTACAACTGCTGACGACGCCCTGGATCAGTTCATGGAACAACTCAGGTCATCTTGAACGATGATATCGAGGTTCTCTTACTTCGAAACATATGGAAGTTATTGATACCCCAGGAAGCACGGGACTTTATGTGACCTATTGCTGAAGCTTTCAGTCAGACTCAAAGTCTATTTAAAGTGCTGATCAAACTGGTGCAAATTGGATGCTGTGAGAGTACTGATTACCAGTTAGAGGTTTACCTGTTCTGGCACCACTGATAGTTTTGCAATAACAGACATATCGTCGAAAACAAGTTCGAATGGGTCTGTCTCATTTTAACTTTACGTCAGTTTGCTTTATACACAATGTAAGGTATAAACTCAGGATCGAAAATACACAATATTAAAATTAACCATTATAACAACCTTGTGCTTGTGTAAAAGAATTACACAGCTCCAGAACACACTTGACACAAGGGTAAGTGGATGGCCCTCAAAAATCATCATGCGAACCATATAAAATGGAGTGTTTTAACGTAATGACATTCTGGTTGTATGACTGCCTTAACACGACCAGTTGTGTTAGTTTCCAACGCCTTCGTCTGACCTTGAGTGAGCCTAGACCGTTCATCATGTAATGTTGAGAATTGTTTATTGGCGGTGTCAAGAAACTGCACTAATGCGTACACACAGGAACTAAACGAGTCACTTCATATGGCAAATTGTCCACCACTGAACTGACTACATCCGGTCCGTCGGTTCGGATCGTGAAATTCTGTTCGTATCAATAATAATAATAGTAATAATAATAATAATAATAATAATAATGATAATATTCATCATTCTTCAGCACATGATCCGCGTTCGCGATGAAAAATACCCCCCCCCCCAGTGTGTTTCAGGAATATTCACTGCGCCGTGGTTCGTACAGGATCCTTCTAGCTGTGACAGTTTGTCATTATGACCGCCATGGTGGTATCCCGAACGCCTTGTATTCTAAGTAGGCTTAGCGGAACCTGTAACTTGAAGCTGAAGTGGATGGTTGGGGAGTAGTTTCATCTCAAAATACTGTAAGCACAATGTATTGTTAAAATGGTTATCGTAGAATCCACCTGAAATCGTAATTGACACATACAACCGGATAAGCACTGACAAAACACTCTGGGTAGACATGTGATTTTTCCTCCAGTCGCTCAGTCTCCCTGATTCGGAAAAAACAGTTCGCTTTCTTGGTTCTTTGATGAAGTCAAGTAGTATGCGGTCCATTGTTGCACAAAATAAAGGGGTAAGTCCATCAACAGACACTTACCGAGCGCCATTATCACTTTTCACGGGAATGAGACGTAAATGGGACTAGACAAAGGTAGCGAGAAAGGAAGCCATGCAGAACTGTTTTGCGAATGATAAGTGGAGATATTAATGATTCCAATGGCTCGAAGTCTGCGATGGTTAGCAAATGATTTTGGAAAATCCGTCATACACTGGTTGTAAGAAGACAACGACATAGTGGGACAAAAAGTTTCCTGAATAGACTACATTTGTATGCTTGTAAAATCCACAAATAATCCATTTATATGAAACTTTGAGGTTACTTTCAGACAAGAGGGCGGCAGGCTTCTAAAAATGCATTCACTGAGAGTGAATGATCAAGCTTTAAACACAATCAGGTTTGTGCGTTTCTGGCTTTAAGTGTGAAAATGGGAATTCACTAATGCTAAGCAGTTAAATCATGATAACGTGAGTGATTATATGTCGCAGGAAGGGGGTGGTGGGGGTGGTATTTTGAGGTACTACTCACTTTGGGTAGTAGGTAACTTTCGATGTGCGCCAAAAGTTGAAGTCAGCTCTCAACCGCACATTCCCAGCTGCTCAACTCCGACATATTGCCCCTACTCGTGGAATCGATTTGGACAAACATGTACATAGTTGACAATCCAGTTCTGTCTCACACACAGTATACGAGTTCACCCGCATTTACGGTGACTCATACATAGGCAGAACCAACCGTCAATTATCACAGCGGATGGCCGAACACATTCCAAAGTGGTCGGTCAAGTCGGTGGCGCAACCCACACCTAGTAATCAGGCGGTCACACGTAACCCGGGGTCATCAATTGTAAAACACCTCATGAAAACCAAGCACATAATTGATCCCGCTTCCTCTTTTAAACCGTTGTTATGTAATTGTAATGCAAAACTGTTGGCGATAAGTGAGGCGTTGCTAATCCGATTACATAATCCCGTTCTGTGCGCCCAAAAGTTGTTGATCCAATCGGTTCACTTGCCGTGGAGTTGACCTGTATTTCTTTAATTCTAATAATCCCTGTCTAACTGTACATGTCTGTTCACTATGATCTACAAATCTCATGTGCTATAAATGTGCTTGTTTGTTTTACGTTAGCGATTGAGAAGATTAAACGAAATGTTAACATCTCGCGACATATGTCTTCTTTCGGCCTCGATGCGATCAAAAATTAAGAAGACCACCTAGGGAAAATTGGTGTATCTCAAAGAATAACTATTATTTGCTACATTCATTACCCTTCGTGTGGCCGGGAACTGCGAGAGTTTGTTTCTGATCAGATTTTCGTGTTGTGCATACAAAGTTTGTGGTGTCCCCTCTGAAATCCCCAATAAACGAATATCTTAAACCAGCACCGCCTTGTGGAATTATAACAGTTGGTGCCGTCGTCAGGATCAGGATGAAGGTCCCGTGGCCTGACACATTCGAGGAGGAAGACGAGCGGACATTCTTGGGGGAGTTCAAGGACGTTGAGGAACTGGCGGGAATACGGTCAAACCGGGTTAAGTTGATAGCCCTTCGAGCGCTTCTTAAGGGCCAGGCGCCGGTGGTGTTGGATGCGGCACGAAAAGACCCGGAGAAGATGGAGTGGGCCGCCGCGAAGGATGCCCCAATCGCGGGTTTCGACACTCCGGCCGATCACCAGCGGGTGTTGCGGAATTTCAGGACGGCGCAGCTCGGAATTGGCGTGGACCCCTTGTCGCGCACCGTGGCCCTGCGCGCCTTGTTGAATCGTGCTCTCCAAAAGTTGGATGATACTGTGCATTCGGATTTAATACTCGATCGCCTCATGGAAAGCCTGCCATAGGACTTGCGGGAGAAGGCATGGATAACCAATGCTGAGAAAACCATGGATTCATTCAAACTGGCAGAGGTCCTGAGGGAATTCACCTGTAAGAAAACCCCACCTGTGCAGTCTACCGAAGACCCTGCACGCCAGCCTATCGGAAGTAAGGCAAATCTCAAGAAAGTAACTGAGTTAGCAGCGATCCGAACCGATTCCAGCCAGAGAGCTCTCGAGAATGGGGATTTTCAGCTCGAAGATCGAGAATGCTGGTCGAAAATTGGCCCCAGACACAGAGCAAGTGGTTTCTGAGAGAACCCCTGAATTCGCTCAAATCTTTGTCCTCGGACAAGGCTCCCTGTGGAACGAATGATCATCATTCAGTCCAGACCCATATGGAAATGGGGGAATAGAAAGTGCCATGTTTGTTTGATAACTGTGCTGCTGCATATATCGCGGAACCTCAGTCAACTGAGTCAGTAGAATTTTCGAATACGGCAGTGAAAAACAGTTGACGAATGCAAGCCGCAAGCTGACAGTAAAGCAAATCCAACTTTCTCTATCGAGAGCACAACGGACAAGCAAACTTTGGCCAGACCGCAAAACAAAACGATAAACAAGTTAAGAATACCGGTGAAATGGAAGCCAAATGCACTTCTGAAAGCACCCGAAGCAGCGTACAAGCAGCATGTTAAAGCCCGTGTCGGTTAACCTGGATAAGCGAAGTTATTCCCCAGATGACGAAGTTCAGATAGACTACGGATGAGGAAGACTTCAACGAATATGTTTCCGGAGATAAGTGACGACAGAGGTGCGTATCAAAGTGAATACGATAGATGGCGATGGGACCACAGCCGTACGCCAAAAAGTCGTCAAAAATCAACCTACTAGGCGGGTCACCACAAATCAGTCATGAAGCCACTAGAATCAAAGCAGTCTGTTTGTTACTGCAGATAATATTGATCCCATTTTAGGCCACTGAGGTGGAAACCTGGCGAGTCTTTTCGTAATTCTTCTTCTTTTCACTCATCATTGATTAAGTCCGCTTGATACTGCACACTGTCCATCGGTCTCCATAAATAGACTGCAATGTGCATCCATTGCTCTATCCTAGAATAACCTGCCGATAACGGATAAATTGTGTACAAGTGAGTTGTCTTCGAAGAGACAATATCCATACAGCTGAAATGTCTGTTCTCCCTGTCTTACAACTGAAACTTTACGATCGGAGTACCTGACTTAAGCGTTGTTGTTACTCTGATCCTAAATCTTGTGTAATTATGAGTTATCTTCCACTTTCACTCTGCGTTCTCATCCTATATGAAATTTGTACTGGTTCTTACTGACTACGTTTCCAACTTCTTTTGTACACAATCCGCAATTCACTCGGTCACCGTGTCACTCAGGGAGTACCAGACTCAAGTGTCGCTGCCCTAGAAGCTCGGTATCGTTGGGCATTCATAAACTTGGTATTTGAACCCTGGACTCCCTGCATGAAATGATTTTAGGTACAACCACTACACATACAATCAGACCAGGATTTTCAATTCCAGTTCCCTCTTCTCTACTCATCATTGATATGATACAATATGAGTTGATCTGTAACACTTAAAAAGACCAGTCCATGAAAAACATATTATCTGACGGCTATTTGCTTTTAATGTATTTTTTCGGCACTACACACCCTAATAACCATCAGTGAATGAGTGAATTACACAAGCTAGACCATCTGTAAATTTCTATCATTCGAATAAATGATGATTGAAACTCAGTTCACCTAGCTTATATCTGTGGAGCTTAAAGATAACAAATCTTGAAAGCACCCTTCTTTTAGGAAACAGTTCTCATTTTTGACAAGTGTACATTGAACTTGACAGATGGATATAACCTAAACCAATCTATCTGTTCTGATAAGATAACTGAAAAAGATATTATATAGCCACGCGTGATAAGAATCACCCTGAGCCCGTTGCCCATATGAAAGCTTGACAGCGTAAAAAAAATCAATAGGAAATCCATTGTCTAAACTCTTACCAATCCGCCTGCAGCAACCCCTCCACCCAGGCACACACAATCTAACCACACACACACACACTGGTATAAACTGAAGTTATTGTACAACACGTGTGGCGATAACGGCGCACAGTTATCGATCCAAAAAGAAACCGGATTATCACGTCACTCGAACAGATGAATCGGGCTTTGCTTGGATGCGTTTGACTAAAGAAAATAAATAAATGAAAAAGAAAATGTGGTACATTTTGGACGGTGTAAGTGGTTGAACGTATTCATTTGAATATTCTTAATGGAGGAGAGTGAATGATTGCTTCTCGCGGATAAAGGTTTTGGAGAAATTGCAGACAACTCATGGGAGCATAAGCTTTTGGAGGTGGTCAGGTAAACGAAAGGTTAAATCGAGTTTATTTGCTCAAATGCATTCATCAGACTCGTCAAACATGTTTTTCCGGACCGAAGTTAGCCCACACTCATTATCTGATTTCGATCAACTTGTAATCGGATTCCCCTTCGTGAAACGAGGTATTCCATGAACGCAGCAAAGCCTTTGAGTGTCTGTAACCATCGCTTACCGTTCATTAAATATTAGTCCATTAGTCTATTAGTACCAGTGACCACCAGTACAAATGAACGATAACTTTTTTAACCGAGACATGGGATATTTGCACCGTTCTACCTGAATTGGCAATCCTTCACACAAAGGTTCAGTGATAAATACACTCCGACACCGACACAATTTTGGTTTCAACACCAGCATCGATTTTTCATTTCGCCTGAGATTATCAAGAAAGAACAAATTGCAATGGGACGCAAAACACTAAACCATTGAGTGATATCACAAGGAACTAGCCTCTATATTGACACAATTTTACCAATTATTGTTTTTACCGATGTTAACAGTTGAATGGAAAGCAACAGAATTGGTCTGATAAACAAGTGAATAGAAAAATAGAAATAGAAAATAGAAGTAGAAATAAAGGAGCAAATTGCGCAGAAATAGTTAAATCAAACTGATCACGATAAATTGTATCCTACATGAATAGGAGTCAAATGAACCCACACCTCAACCTGCTGATTTGCAATAGGTATGAAAAAATCATTGAAAATAATGTGTTGTAACTTTTACCTCTATCACAGGAACTGCTGCTACGGTTAACTGATAAACATTTTGTCTTATCGTAAATAACCGCACGAGTGCTGAAGGAATCAAATTTATACATTAATTATTGGACAAACTGTGACTAGATTGCTGATCACGTGATCCCTCAAATGACCTTGAGTTCAAGGTTGTTTTTTCTGCTTATCGAGAAGTGCCTGTTTTGTGACTCTGCTACTAATATTGGGGTAAAACAAGGATAAAAATCCCTGGTAGCCATCAAATCTCAAAATTCCCTTAGGTCACAGAGCGAAATTATAAATCGAACAATGATTCAAGGAATGACTTCTATACAAAAGGGAAGTAGTGGTAGATGGTAGAGATAACTTGGTATAATCCATTAGGAACTTCTCCACAAATGCATATTAAAGTTACAAACCGAAATAATTTGACATCCACCACCACTGTCATCCATGTTCAACCATGAATATTGCAGCCTAGAAGAGAATTGAAAAACAAGAGTAAACTGTGAATAAATCGATGACATTCGGTGAATCCACAACCTAACTCTTAATTGTAAGAAAAATCAAATTATAGAGACAAACTTTGGAATGCATCACATTAGGCGCCTGTTGTACTTAATTGTAATACTGGTTGAATAACCTCAAGTGGACTACATACTGTTCATCATCACGCCACAACACCCGGCGCCACAAATGCTATCAAGCTGATTTTAGGTTTCTTCGAGATGGCACATAACATTGATCAATTGATCACCAAAAGCAGAGCCTGAGCTTATCAGGTGAACTGTGATGTTAACCAGAAGCGTGTTTTCCCATCATAGTCTACTGAGACAATTTTAGTACTATCCGGTTTTATGTAGAAAAGATGAAGCAAAATTCAGGTGATCATTCAGGAGAATGATTGAACTTGTAAATCATACTGATGAACATCGTTATCTGTGGATGTTATAAGTTTTTCTGTGAAACTAAAAATGCTAACTTTTGACTGACAGCTAAAATGCGTTTAGCCAGGTGAGTTGGAGAGCATTTTCTAATGGTTCTCTAGGTGACTTGAGAAAAGAGACATACAAAATATGCACACCGTATTAAACAGTTATTCACTTCATGAAAATCAAACAAATATAATGAGTACCACCGTCTGTATACAGAGGAAGACGAAGAAACAAAAGACTTTTTCGGTGTAGTGTTAGGCAGAAAACGAAAGCTGATTCAGCGGTGTATATTTTCCTTTGAATGTGGCACGATTTGCGTTTCTAACTACATCGGTACTCCCGTTTGTCCTAAGGACCATTTCTGCAGATTTTGGCGCTTGACAACCGCACAAGTAATATTTTATCGTGAGTGTTTGTATCTCACGGTTTATGGTGTTATGTTTNTTTGCCTTGCAAGTTTCACTTCAAATCCGACCCATGGAAGACCTGTCTACCAGTGTGTCCTCGTTAACCTGGGTCTCGCTTCCCTACCGCCGTTCCCTGCCGTCGTTTGTCGTCTGCAAATCCTCGTGTCGTCTCCAGCTACGAGGGATCTTCTGTCGCGCATCTGTATTCACGCAGCTGCACTGCTACAACCCGGTGTATGTTCGCATTACAATATCAATGAGCTATTAAAAGGTCATCTAACTTTTTGTATATACAGTCAGTTTACTGAAATACGAATATTGAAGTCTCAATCCGGAATGCCGTGATATCGTATCCACGCAACGCTAACCACGATAACTTTAAGATGAGCCTGTTATTGCACGTGAACGGAAATTGTGACCAAAATTTTATTTTGGTCTTAGATATGCGAAAGAAAATTATAAGCCACCGAAAAAAGAAAGAACCAGGGGACATGGATCCGGCGTCCAAGTGGACAGACAACTTTGACAGAATGACCAAATCGATGAATGT